TCATCTTCTTCTTCTTCATCATCATGTTCATATTCTTTTTCATCGGCATCATCATCGTCATCTTTTCATGTCTACAAAATCAGCAGCATCAACATCTTATGAACGCCCCCTCCTCCTCCTCCTCCGCCTTTTTCTGCTCTTGCTCCTCCTCTTCCTCCTGCTGCTGCTTCGCTCGCTCCTGCTCCTGCTCCTGCTTCTGCTCCTGCTCCTGCTCCTGCTCCTCCTCTCCTCGTCTCCTCCTCCTCATCAACAACAACGTCGACAAAATGCCCGTCGTCATCCTCAGCAACACCGTCACCGTCCTCATTAGTCTGTTCGTTAACAACGAAGCTCAACAAGCTTGCACATCTACGGGTCGCCTGTCTATCGCAAAGCAGTCCAGCCCTAATTAGCCAACTCCTCCTTGGTCAACGCAGCCCCCACAACCGCCAATGACATCCTAAACCCATGAACCAACCTGGAGCAATCTTCCCTGGAGGTGTCGTCCCTGGAGGGCCTCACATACAAGGTAGCTTTGCATGTACGATGAAAGATAGACTTTGGACCACCGTGACGAGCGTAGAGTCTACTTGAACGCCTGCGTCGTAGTAAACCCTAAACCCTAAAACCTAAACAGTACAGCCGTTTAGGGGTCTGTGCTTTCGGATGATAAGATTGTGCAGGGTTTTGGAGACTCTGTGTCTGTGTGCTTCCATTTGTGGTAGGCCTTCTGGTCCAAAACCATCGTCCTTTCATGGTTGAGTTAGGGCTTTCCATGCAGATAGTTCCCACTGTAAGCTGGGCAATGTAGACTACCCCGACGGTCTAAGATAGCTACACACCAGGAGCCTGTAGTGCTGTTTTGTTTAAGAAGACTTGAGTGTTTCAGGTTTCTGGGTCATGCTCAACGCTGACTGGCGAAGCACCTGCGCCAAACCCAAGACAAACGGTCCCTATTTGTGCATGTGAGGGTGCAGGGTGTCTGGTACAGCAACAACCTCAAAAACCTTAAACCTTAAGTTGCGACGCTTAGAGTTTGATTTTGTGTTTCGGCAGTTGTGATGTTTCTTTTATCGCTTGAGGTTGGAAGGCTGAATGCTTGGGGTTTGGGGGTTTAGGGTTTAGCTGTACTCGTAACTAACCCTACACCCCAACCCCTAAACCACTATGGTTTACGACTGGCTGCAGTCTAGAGGCGTTGAAGGATTGCGTTGCGGAATCTGTCTTCCGCAGCTAGCACTGCAAGTCCTGAATTCCAAACCCGCTCGGCGTTATAAGGAAGAC